TTAGGTTCCGCTTATAGGTGAGATCATATGGTATTTGTCTTTCGCCCCCTGGCTTATTTCGCTTAGCATGATGCTCTCCAGTTCCATCGACGCTGTCGCGAAGTTTAGTAGTTCTGTTTTTCTTTCTGCTGCGTAGTATTCCATTGTGTATATGTACCATCACTTTTTGATCCAATCATCTACTGATGGGCATTTAGGTTGCTTCCAACACTTGGCTATTGTAAATTGTGCTGCTATGAACATTGGGGTGCATAGGTTCTTTTGCATTGGCGTTTTGGTGTTCTCAGGGTATAGTCCCAGCAGGGGAATCACTGGATCAAAAGGCAGTTCCATTTTCAGCTTTCTTAGGAAATTCCACACTGCTTTCCATAGTGGCTGCACCAGTCTGCATTCCCACCAACAGTGGACTAGGGTTCCCTTTTCTCCACAGCCTCGCCAGCACCTGTTGTTTGTGGATCTGTTTATGATGGTCATTCTGACAGGTGTGAGGTGGTACCTCATGGTGGTTTTGATCTGCATTTCTCTGATGGCTAGTGATGCTGAGCATCCTTTCAAATGCCTCTGGGTCCTCTGTATCTCCTCCTTAGAAAAGTATCTGCCCAGGTCCTTTGCCCATTTTTTGAATGGATCGTTTGTCTTCTTGGAGTGGAGTCGAGTGAGTTCTTTATATATCTTGGAGATCAAACCTCTATCTGATGTATCATTAGCAGATATATTTTCCCATGCGGTTGGCTCCCTTTTCATTTTGCTGATGTTTTCTTTCGCCATGCAGAATCTTCTTATTTTGATGAGGTCCCACTTGTTTATTCTTTCCTTTATGTCCCTTGCTTTAGGAGACATATCAGTGAAAAAATTGCTGCGTGGGATATCTGAGAGTTTCCTGCCAATGTTCTCCTCTAGGACCTTTATGGTGTTGCGACTTATATTTAAGTCTTTTATCCATCTTGAGTTTATTTTTGTGTATGGTGTCAGCTGATGATCCAATTTCAATTTTTTGCATGTAGCCATCCAGCTCTCCCAACACCATTTGTTGAAGAGGCTGTTATTACTCCATTTTATGCTTCTGTCCCCTTTGTCAAATATTAGATGTCCATAGAGACCTGGGCTTATTTCTGGGCTTTCTATTCTGTTCCACTGGTCTATGGGTCTGTTCTTGTGCCAGTACCAGATTGTTTTGAGTATAGTGGCTTTGTAGTAGAGTTTGATGTCTGGTATTGTGATCCCTCCTATTTTGTGTTTCTTTCTCAAAATTGCTGCGGCTATTCGGGGTCGTTTATGGTTCCATATTAATTTTTGAAATGTCTGTTCTATTTCTTTGACATACGTCATTGATATCTTAATAGGGATTGCGTTGAGTCTATAAATTGCCTTGGGTAGTATGGACATTTTGAGGATATTAATTCTTCCAATCCATGAGCACGGTATATAAGCATGATTTCTTAAAAATGCAACCTCCTTCAAGTCTTCACTGAATAAGGTTTGTTCTCAGGAAAACAAACAAACAAACAAACATAAAAAAAAGCCTCTCTGAAAGGAATGGGAATGGATTTTAACAATTTTAAAGCATTGAGAATGGACGTGTATTTTTTTCCTCTGGAAGTTTTTTAAACTTGAAATTCATTTTTGCCTGTGAGGTGAGCCACTTGGTAATCTCTGCTCAGGCAGGTCACTGCCTACTCTTGGGCTACAATTGGGTTCCATTTCTTTTTATAAAGCTCTCATTATTTCTGTTAGGAGGGCTTGAAGGCTGAAAGGAGGAAAGAGGAACTGGATAACTCAGTGGCCTAGATAATGTCATCTGATCTCACTACCCTGAGGCTTTTTTTAAATTTGGCTCCTCTTCACACAGTTTCAAAATATACACCAGCTCTTCAACAGTCATTGACAAGTGGGCTCTGGAGTCAGACTGCCTGAATTGGAAACCAGGCTCCTCCAATTACTTGTTGTGAGGCTTCAGAGAAAGTACTCCATCTCTCTGTGCTTCAATTTCCTTGCTTATGAAATGGAGCTAATTAACAACCTTGAATTTTTTTAAAAAAAATAAATTAGATAACATACACAAAACACACTTAGTCCAGAATATACAGCAAGCATTCAATAAATTTTAGCTATTAAAAAAAAAAAAACATTGCAAAGCACTCAATACCTTAAGACAACAGAATGGGATGGAGGAGAAAGGGATAGAATACATATGGGACATAGAGTGTTTGTTGGCAAAGAAATTAATTTTGGGTAAAACACAATCTGACAATTTCCTATACCCTGGATAGACTAAGGTTGTTTTTATGTAGTTTGAGGTCAAGAAAGAAAGAAATAAACAAACAAACAAAAAAAACACTTGAAAGAGGGGTGGGGGAATGATGGTTATGGGGGTGAAAGGAAAAGAAGTCCTGAAGTTGGAAAATAAGTACCCTATTTCAAAATGTCTTTCAAGACTGAGCCTAATGCTTGGAGACCATCTATTTGCCTTCTGGTCTGCTGGCTGTGGGCCACAAACCCCTCCCCATAATGCCAGTTTACAAAATATAGTTTCCATGATCTTCCTTGCTTCTTTTTTCATTGAAAATATTACTAACTTTAAAAATGTGTAGGTTCTCTATCAAGTTCCAATCAAACACCTAAGCTTCCTCTCCCCCCTCCATGGGGGTCCAAACCTGCATAGTGGCTAATCCCAATTGAGTCATGAAGCTGCTAGAGTCCAAGGAAGCCTTACAACTAGAGAGCCCAATGATATAGCCTGGATTCTTTTGCCTGATCTGGACTGTCCTCTTAGGCTAAAACAATCCCTGCAATGGGGTTGGGGGAGGCACAGGGCATTTCCCTACACCCTACTTTCAACAAACCACTTAACTTATGAACACGTCTTCCCTTTAGCAAAGACTATCTCAGAATTCCTCTAAATGTTATATTTCTTGACTCCATGTCTTCATTTCTAAAAACTAGATGTGTTTATAAAAGTGTAACTTTCTATTAACTAGCTCACCTGCCCATTTGTAGTTATGAAAAGTTATTTTCACACTCACATTAAGCAAGATACAGAAGAGATTTAATGATCATCCAGGAATTTTTGCACTGTGTTTTAAAAAGGCAAGATTTTGTGCAGTGGAGTGTCAAGATTTGAATTCTTGGGAAACATAATTTCTTTATTCACATTTGAATTAACATTAAAAATTCAATCCAGAACACCCGAATTTCTTTTTGTGGAGAGGTGGTAGTTAACACATCCATTAACAGAAGATTTTCTTTATTTAACCAGACCTGTTTCCACAGACAGGCTTGTGGACATTACAGAGCTCACTGAGCCGGGAAATTGAGGAATGTAAAGAACGAGGTCAAACTTGGAAGTTCAAAGAGATATGAAATAAACAATATCCACCAATATATAAAAATAAGAATTACAAAAGTTAGAAGGGTGGGTCAGAAATGGTGAGGTCCAAGTCGTTGGGAAGAATTATTTAGGCAAATCTTCCTAGAGGAGGTAAAATATCTTAATGAAAAAAAGAAAGAAAAAGGAAGCGAACACCCCGCGTCATTTTCGACCCCAGAGTGTCCGATTGCAAGTTTGCGAACGGTCTGTGAGCTCCAGGGAAAGTAAGCAACTTCGGGACATTTTTCTAAAGTGCTCTTCGCCGTGTAAATGTTTAGAATGCGTTTAGTTTTATGCGCAGATTCTTTTTCCCATAAAGTCCTCAAAAGAGTGAATTGCATTTGTCAGATTCTTTTAAATCGTGTTTCGGACTCTGCGCTTTGTGGGAGAATGGAGAAGAGCCTGGGCGCAGGGAAAAGTTTTGTAACAAATGAGCAAATGAATGAAATTCAGACGAAAAGCTGGGGACCTGGAAGGACGCAGGGACTTTGTCTCTGCAAGGCGTGCACGGAGAACTGCAATCCTAGGACGAGGATAGCCGGGAGTTCAGAGACTTTGCCTGCCTTAATCCGCAGCACCTGTAACAGGTGCGGTTCTGACTGGGCTGCCAGGGCTTGGGTCCGGAGAGATGAAATCCGCCTCAAGGGGACTTCACAGTGGCCCTGTTCACGCTACAGTGTGCCCTGGGCTACAGGCTTTCAAAGCCGAGCTGTGGTAGCCCTGTAGCGTATTTGGTGCTCTCTCCCCGCCCGCACAGGGTCTCACCTAGGTGGGATTCCCTACCTAGTGGAAAATCATTTCATTATCTAACTTGATGAATCTTTGCAGTAAATGGAGCAATAAAATCAGAGGGACAGAAGAGAAAATAGACAACTAGAAAAGTCGCCAAGTGTTTCATGGGGAGATGGGGGCGCGGGCTGTTTGAACTGTGGCAGAGCTGTGGGGCCCGGACTGGAAGTGTTGCGGGTCCGGACGGTTTTTCCGGGGCTGGCAGCTGCATTGAAAATGTTTCCCGTGCAACATTCGCCAGAGGGAGCTGGGGGCGGGGGCGGTGGGCGCAGAGGTGGAGATGGGAAGGGGCAGGAGGGCGGGGTAGACCGAGAAGGGCTGGCTCCCAAACCGTTATAGTCCTTCAGCACCTCCCTCTTCCATTGCCCCCAAGCAGCCCGCCTCCCTGCTGCGCGGCGGCCCACCTGGCGACGTGACGCAGCACCAATCCCCTTCGAGCTGCTCCTGGGGTTGGCCCCCCACCTCCTTGCACCGTCCCCCTCCCCACCCTGAAAGAGGCGCACCTTGCCCGGGCAGACGCTGCGCTCTCGCCTGCGGTGCACCCCTCTAGTTTCTTAGTCCCTCCAGCTTGGCCTCGGAGAGGGAAGCTCAGGCTCTTCTCTCACCTTAGCGAAACTTGCCTTCCCGCCTCTCAGTCTCCTGCTTCCTTCCACTCCTGCCTTTTCTCGCTCCAGTTTTGCCTCCTCAGTCTCACACGCCGTAAGTCCCGGTCCTCCATTCTCCCGCTCCCCACTCGGGCCCTTTCCCTTCTCTTCCTCCACCCCATTCCACTTCTTAACTGCGTCCACCTCAGACACCCGCAGTGTGCCCAAATCAGTCTTCCACTCCCGTCCATCTCGAAGTCATGGCGGGACCCGGGGGTTGGAGGGACAAGGAGGTCCCAGATCTAGGCCACTTGCCGGTGAGTGGAAGAGACCCATCGCCCATAAAGTGCTCTCTTCTTTGGGTTCTGAGCACCCGGGGAGGCGACAGATGTCCAAAAGCTAGGCTAGGTTAGAACTTCGACGGAACGGCAGGTGCTTGGGTGGAAAGTGGGCTTGTGGAAAAGGCTCCCCCTGGACTCCTAGGCTGCTCCAAAATCAAGGAAAGGCAAAGGGACCGGGGAAGGTGGAGGAGGGAGGATAGGTGGTGCTTATGCAGGCCCTTAACAGCGGGACGTTTTCTAAATGTGGCCGGTTTTGTCTAGTGGCGCTCCTGTACGTGCCCTAGCTGGGCTCCAAGAGAGGCCAAAGAGGGCGACGAAGCAAGGTTTCCTGGAAGCACTCCTCCCTGTCACCACCGCCTCCTCACCGTCGTCGTTTCCTTCCCTCCCCTCCCCTCTCCTCCCCTCCCCTCTCCTCCCCTCTTTTTCTTCCTTCCTTCCTTCCTTCCTTTCTTTCTTTTTCTTTTTCTTTCTTTCTCTTTCTTTCTTTCTTTCTTTCTTTCTTTCTTTCTTTCTTTCTTTCTTTCTTTCTTTCTTTCTCTCTCTCTCTCTCTCTCTCTCTCTCTCTCTCTCTCTCTCTCTCTCTCTCTCTCTCTCTCGCCTTCTCTCTCTCTCCTTTCTTCTTTTTTTTTTCTTTTGACATTGGAGATGCCCACTTGAGGAATGACTTTTACTTTGTATGTGACAGCCGGCTAGAAAATTAAAGCATTGGAGTTTCACTTCTCTGGCTTTCTAAAACATTTTCTAAAACCTTATTCTGCCAGAGCACAATTTAAAAATGGGCAAAGGATCTGAACAAACTGTTGCCGATTTAGTATTGCAGAAGCGAAATAACTCACTGCCACTTGAAAAACTGAATTCTGCACCCCCTAATTTAAAACAAAAGTATTTCTCTCAGTAGCTAACCAGATTCAGACCCTTTTCATGGTTGTTATCTGTGTATTCTCCTTTTTTCCTGAATGCTCAGTTTTCTTCCACAGTTGTAATTGATTGGTGAGCTATTATTGTCATCGTTATTACTAAACATTATGTTAGCAGCACCATTTATTTCACTGGCATCTGGTTTCTGGTAGATACTGGATTCAGGTCAAATCCATTTTTTAAGTTCTCTTTTTATATTGGCATTTGACTTGAACCCTCTCTTCAATTCAGAGGGACCCTGGACACTCTGAAAGAGAATAAGCATGCATGTACTGTAATGATCTTGCTTTGGGGAAAGCTAAATATCAATCTTGAAAGTTATAGGATTATTCAGGGACATAGTGCCTTAATTTTATTCATATTTGGCACTTAAAGATTGTCTTCTTGATGATGGCAGGTGCCTGCCCCCCTCAGCAGGAGGAGATGATGCACATGGATAACATTTTAGCAAATTGTTCCTAGCCTTGAAATAAACATGTTGAATTACAAATATTAGCATTGTAGTTATTGATGAAGCTTCGTAAAATAAAGTCACAGAATGTTAAATGATTAACTCCTTTTCTATACTGCATGTACCCAGTGCATACATGAATATGTAGACCTCGATTGGTGGTTTCCTTTCGGAACAGAACTTTCATATTCTGTCTAGATTTGCTCCCAAATAGAAGTGTTAAAATGATGGATGAAATGTTAGCCTCCTCCTGCATTCTCTGTGTATTGTGGGAGAAAGAGAAAAAAAGCAAACTAGGGCAAATATGTCAAGCCACACATGGGCCAACTGAAACTCCTCTAAACTTAACTAGAAACAGGAATGGAAGGACCTCATAGAAATGATAGAGCAGGGGTTTCCAAACACAAGGAAGAAGACAAAAAAGTTTATTGCCATACAAAAAAAGGTGGGGGGTGGCCCAGACTGACTGGTCATGGCCCAGGGACACAAGAACTTGATGAGTGCAGAGAGGATAAGGAGAAAGGCTGCAAATTTTACAGCGCAGTTCGGTGGAATATTAGTTTTCTGGGGGTTATGGTGCTGTGGAGGGGAGAAAGATAAGGTTGGTTTTTAATGCAGGAGTAGGGTTAAGACACAAAACCAAGCACTGATGCTTGACCTCATTTTACAGACCTCATTAAAGTTTCATAAAGTCCTTAACTGCTAACAATTTCCAAATTTTATTTTACAGAAGTAATGTTATCTTATTGTGACAGTCTTCATCTTATCAAATTATATATAACTACCCCCTCCCCAAACATCCAGCTCCAAACCCTAAGCAATCTAGCAGAAAAGTAATACCCCCTTTACAATTTTTTAAATGTCAAATTTTTAGAGATGTGAATAGTTCATTGCAGCTTTGGTCACTGAGGCATGTTTTTTAGTGATTTGGGGTTTCTTTGCATTTGACTTTTTTTCCTGAGTCTCTGAAGAAGTAAAAGTAAATTAAGAGGTCAAATGACATGTAAGTTAGCTCTTTGGAAGTTTGCATTTTGAGGAAAAAGAAAGATGATACAGCAAGCAAAGAAACCTGAATATGATGGGAACCCTTTTCATAATGTTCTTCAAAAGGATATATATGAAGGTTAGAAAGTTGGCATCTGCCAACACCAAGTATACCAGTTAAGCAACTGCCAGACAATGAGGGGTGATTCAGACTTTACAGTTTCATGTTGAGAAAAAAATCATGCAGAGTATAATTAAATATGAGTCTAGTTTAAGATTGATATATTATGTCCTTTGTAGAGCTGGTCTCTTTGTAGAGAGGTCAGGCTTGCTGTGAAAATTGGGATTTAAGGAAAGTGGTGCACAGGTTTTTTAGGGGATTTTTTTTTATTACATAGGTATTTTTTTAAAACCTAAAATAGTAAGCAGGAGTGAAACCTGGGGAAGCAGGAAAGGGGTGAGGAATTGTATAATTTTTTGCATTATTCCCTAACATTAGAGACATAAGAGAGCCAACTTAATGACCAGAAATTACAAGTCAACTATATTTTTGTTTATTATTAATTGGGTTGCTATAATTTTTCCAGATTGACTATTGAATAAATATTTCCTATAGGTGACAAAACAAAAAATATATAAATATTTGTGGTTTGTGCTTTCTTTTTGAAAAAATTGAAACTGTGTCTGTGTGTGTGTATATATAAATATATATATATATATATATATATTCTACCTTGCTTGCCAACAATCCCTGTGGGGGGGCGGTGTGGGTATTAGTATGCTTATGTCACTCAATCCTTGGAACTGGAAACTATTTCTTCATCTCCAAATCAGGCATGTCTTCGCTATAATAGTCATCTTTGCCTTCTGTGCCCATTATGGTAATGATATCCTTCATGGCTGTGGCCTTGGTATTTGAAACAGCCATGTGTAGTCCTAATCCATATTGGGGTCAGGATTAGATAGGCCTGGAGGATGCTAGCAGCAGAGGTGATCTGAAATAGCACATGATCCAAAAACTGTAAGTGACATTAGGTTTATGTTTAAATATAAATGCTAGTTCTCCCAGTCTTCCAACACCCAGGCCAAACGTGTTTTCCGCACTCAGTCATGAGAACCTTCCCACTTTACCAAGTCCCTAAACTGGCTGTTTTCAAGCAGTTTTACTTTCTTGTCCACAAGGATTGAAACATTCAGGATATCTTCCATTACATATTCTAGAGCATCACCTCAGCATGACATTGTATTTCAATCTATTATCTCAGTCTTTTCCATTCTCTAGAACAGTAGGTTTTATGTTAATGCACAAAATAGTGCACAAGAATCATCTGGGGATCTTAAAACTCATCCCCAGAAACTCCAATTTCACAATTTCATGGTAGGGACAGGAATCTGTATTTTAAATGAAATTCCCTAGATGATCTCATGTACGGAAAGTTTATATAGTCCACAGTTTGAGAAACACTGGTCTAGAAGAGATTATTTCTCTAAGTTTTCAACTTGAATGGTGAAGTCCATTCTTCCAACTACTCTGAAACTCACTCTGAAACTTAAAGTGTTATATCTGCTATTTTCAGGTTCTTTCTCTATAAAGACTTTTCATAAAGTTGCTGTTTTGTAATATTTAAAACAAAAGAAGGAAAGTCTCTGCTATTCCTTCTATACTGTGCAATCTCTTTTTTTCCTTAGCTGTTTGACTATTGGAATGTGTTCCCTAGGTCTCATTCATTATTACCCTAAATCTGAAATTTATTGCTACCCATATTGTCCATTTTAAATGACCATTAAAAATGTAGTTTTTAATTTTTGCCATATTTGTTTCCATCAGTTAATTTCTGCTTCTGAGTCCCTTCTATGACCAGTAAACACCACCTTCTAGTGGCTCTTTTTCTTCCTGTTACCCCCAACCCTCTCTTTAATAAAATTATCCATCAAAATGCTTATCTCTTCCCCCCTCTCCTTGATTTCAGAAGACAGAAACAAATCCCCGAAATAGAGGTGTCAGGGGGACAACCAGTCTAAGACTTTTAAAATGTAACAAGTAATCTAGATACATAGGAAAAAAGAACAAAGTATAAAGTGTTTGCCCAACATTTTATGGTTCAAAAATGTTCTATTTATTTTGAGGAAAAAATTATAAATTGGAGTTTTTTTTATTACAAATCTTTTTTTTTTTTTAACCAAATGGAACACCAAAGTATACTGAACCAACAAAATAATCTCCAAATGGATATAGCAGTCATAGATATAAATATATCTTCTGGTTTTCTTATCTTGATGAGGTAGAGCAGAGGGAAGGACCAAACAATGGTGGAGACCCCTCTGATGTAGACTTTTTAATTTCATAGTAACCAAAAACAGTGGTTCCCTTTTAATGCTTCATTCCTTAGGAGGCCAGAACAAACATTCTCTGACTATAATTAAGTGGGAAGTTTTATATAAGAAAGTGAGTAATATCACCCTAGTAATTAGCATAGTTCTCCTTTTTTTCCCCAGTTTGACAATCATTTAGTCTTAAAAGATACTAGTATGAAGATGGGGAATGAAAAATATCACATAAAACTAATGAAAAATACTCTTCAATGAATACTATACTGAGCTGCATTTAAGAATAAAAGGAGAA